CAGTAGCTTGGAGAAGGGCATCTGAGGAGTGCAAAGGCTGCGAGGCCACGGCCTGATGGGTTGTTTTGAAAAGAGCAAGGAGGCTACATCAGCAAGAGTGGTATGAGGGGAAATCAGAAACATCTTGCAGGGGTGGTGGTTGGGGGAGAGTATCAGGGAACTGATTTTCTTTGAATGAGATGGGAAGACACTGGGGATTTGAGGAGCAATGGCATGATGTGACTTCCGTGTTTAAAGGACCAGTCTGGCTGCTCTGTTGAGAATGAACAGAGAGGGGCAAGGGGAGAAGATCAGTAGAAGGCAAATGCCAAAGTTAAGATGGGAGGTGATGGTGGCTTGGATTAGGGTGTGACAGTGGTGGAGGTGATCAGAAGGTTGGATTTAGGATTAATGAAAGGTGCTGAGAGGTCAAAACAAAGGTCAAAAATCTTTTTTTCGAAGTCAAAACACATAAAGCAAAAATTGATAGAACTATGTTATGGATTGAATTGTGTCCTCCAAAAATATGTGTTGAGTGCTGACCCCTGTACCTGTGGATGTCATCCTGTTTAGCTACAGAGTTTTCTTTGTTATGTTAATGAGGCCATGTCAGTGCAGGGTATGTCCTAAATCTAATCACTTCCGAGTAATATAAAGACAAAAATGTGATACATAGACACAAATGCAAGCACAAATGGGGAAAGACAGACATCTCACCTTGTGAAGATCACCAAGGAACCAAAGAACATTGCGGTTACTGAGGCTGGAAGAAACAAGGGTTTTCCCCTAGAGTGACACAGAGAGAGTCTTCCCCTAGAACTGGTGCCCTGAACTCAGATTTTTAGCCTCCATAACTGTAAGCAAATAAATTCCTATTCTTTAAAGCCATTAAAACAACAACAACAACTTTTTTTTCTTCCCTTTTGGCAACATTTCAAGGGACGCAGGTTATACTCTGTAGAATATAGCTTGGGAAATACTGGCTTAGGGATTTTTACTTCATCCTTGTTCTTTTTTACACTGTTTGCTGTTGTTGTTAGATGCCATTGTGTTGGTTCTGACATGTAACGACCCTGACAACAGAACGAAAGTTTGCCCGGCCCTGCACCATCCTCACAATCTTTGTTATGCTTAAGCCTGCTGTTGCAGCCACTGTGTCAATCCATCTCATTGAGGGTATTCCTCTTTTTTGGTGACCCTCCACTTTACCAAGCATGATGTCCTTCTCCAGGGACTGGTTCCTCCTGATAATATGTCCAAAGTATGTGAGACGAAGTCTTGACATCCTTGGTTCTAAGGAGCATTCTGGTTGTACTTCTTCCAGGGCAGATTTGTTCGTTCTTCTAGCTGTCCATGGTATATTCTATATTCTTTGTGGACACAATTCAAAGGTGTCAATTCTTTTTTCTTTTTTTTTTAATTGTTGTACTTTAAGTGAAAGTTTACAATTCAAGTTAGTCTCTCATACAAAAATTTATACATACATTGTTATGTGACCCAAACTACTCTCCCTGTACTATGACAGCACACTCCTTTCCACCTCTGATTTCCCGTGTCCATTCAACCAGCTGCTGACCCTCTCT